GAGAGAAGTGAGGCTGCTGCTGCTCCATGTCCCCAAGTCCAACCAGTAGCAAGGCTGAAGATGCATTCCTAGCAGACACACACACACACAGAGCACACATATACACTACATATATACATGGTTGGCCACAGAGATCACAGACAGACACTCAGAGCACTCACATGAACACAGACAGCACCAACAGCCTCATCCTGCTCCCCTCTCTGGATGAGCAGGATGAAAGTCCACTAGTAAGAATATATATATATGTACAAGGTGGATCCTTCCAGCAACTGGGCTCAGACACTCAGTCTGCCCAGTAGCTGGCCCCTGGATCCCAGTCTCCCCAGTTGCTGGCACCTGGACATATGAGCCCCCAAGGCCGCAGCCCCACTCCAGTTGCTGGTACAGACTATCACACATACACACACACACAGAGCTGGCCAGGACTTTCCCGCTTCCAATAGCTGACCCCCCCCCGTGCTCTCACCCTTAGAGATACACAGGCACTCTCACACCCAGAGTCAACCGGAACTCCCTTGGTCCCATAGCCTGTTAAGGGATGTTAAGAGCAGCTGTCACATCCAGCAGCTACGGGCCCAGGACTTTCCCTTGCCTGGCCACTGGAGCCCAGCCTGGTGTGCTCGGGGACCTGGGGTCTCTGCACCAGGCTGAGGGATGCAGCTGCCACTTTCCCATTTGCAGGTTCAACCAGTAGTGAAGCTGACCACATATCCCAGAGACACACACACAGACACATACAGGACACTAACATGGCTGGTCACACAGACTGCCACAGACAAGGTGCTACCTTCAACAGCACCTGCATATAGAACTCACATAAAACATAAACATAGACAGCCAAGTCCCCTTCCTCCTCCTCTTTGGCTGACAGAGATAGAAGTTCACTAGTGAACATGACACTCTCTAGATTCACAAGGACATGCACATTCACAGATACCCTGAGTACCAGCACAGCCCCCTTTGTCCATCTGGTACCACTGCCCAGATCCCAGGCCCTCTTACCTGATTCACGGGCCCCCTACTTGCTGGATAGTCCAGCTTGATGCTCACTAGCAAACACATGCACACTCATACACTCATCTCACAGGCACTCCACACTCACTAGTCCCTCCAAATACCAACACGGACCCTCTGCCTGCCTGATAGCCCTGCCCAGATCCAGGGCCGCCTACTCGCTGGCTAGTCCAGCTTGAAGTTTGCTAGAAAATTACACATGCACACCCCCACACTCACCAGGTTTGGGGAAGATACAGACACTCCCCAGAAGCCAGCACCAGGCACACGGGCTGTGACCTGCAGTTCTGCTCCAGTGGCTGGCGCTGAGCCCCTCACTTGTCTTACTCATGACAGTCCCTCACAGTAGCTGCTTGTTGGGACACACACTGTTCCCACCCCAGTAGCTGGCAGCTAAGACCCTCACCCATTCCAATAACTAGCACTGAGACTCCCACTCGCTCTAGTAGCTGACACCGCAGGCCACAGTGCATCACTGGGGCTCAGACAATTGTTAGAAGTTTATGTGAGGGATAGGTCCAGACTGTAGTGAACAGATACAGCAGTTTTTTGTAAAGCAGCAGCCAGTAACTTTGCTCATACCAGCATACACATTCTCAGCTATGGTGGTGATGTGCCACAGGGCATGGTCCTCAGCAGCTACTGGAGCACGTCCCTGCAGCACTGTAGGTTTTGACACAGCCAGAGCTTCAGAAGGAGAACACAATTCTGCAAGTCACAGGCTGCAGGGAGTGCCTAGGGTCTCTCACTGAGGCTGGAGCACATGGTCTTCCAGCCTGCAAGAGGTGTGTAGTTGCTGAGGAGCTGTGCTGCTAGGTAAAGGAGCTGTGGGATGAGGTCAGCAGACTATGCAGCATCAAAGAGGATGAAAAAGATCTTCTCTGAGACACTCTAGCTTCAAGAGTCTGAATCTCTAACTGTAGCAGAGGGACAGATAGAGTCTGTGCCTATCGGGTTGGAAAGTGGAAACTCCCATGATGGTTAAGGCTGGAAGCTGGTGACTTCTGGCACCAGAAGGAAGGCTCTTCCACCTGAAGACTTGCAACTACAGAATAGGTTCACCACATTGGTAGTGGATGAGAAGCTGGGAGCACTGTCAAATGGAGCACCTATGCCAGCTGAGTCTGAGCCACACAGGGTAAGTGGCAAGTGACAGTAGCAGAAGACTCCCTGCTGCTGGGGCAGAGGTCCCTATCTGCTGACCCAACCTGTCATCTAGGGAGGTTTGCTGCTTGCTGGGGACTTGCATTTGGGATATTGCGTAGAGGCTGCCAAGGCTTTTTTAGCCATATTACCTCCTGCTGCTCTTCCACATAGGCCCCAATGATACTGCCAGGGATGACCTGGAAAGCATCAAATGTGACTACATGGCTCTAGAGGCAATTATTAAGAACTTGGGCACAGCAGTCTCTGGGTTCTGCTTTGGGAGCTTCTGAACCTTCTGGGGAAAGGGTCCAGGATCATTGGGGAATGCCTGGGAACCCTCTGAGAAACTTGAGGGGCCTACTGCTGCCAGGTAAGGGAAGCCACAGGTGTGTGAGCTTGAGGAAACTCTAACAGCTTCTAATGAGCATGATCAGCTGCACTTGACCCAGGGTGTCTGCTGCCTGCTGGGGCCAGGATCCAGGATGTTGTGGAGAAACTGCCAAAGCTTGTTTGACCTTCTGACTGTTACACCTTGCTGTTCTTCCCTGTGGGCACTGATGATACTGCCAGGAGAAACCTGGAGAGTATTAAAAAATACTACAGAGTTCTGGGGGCAATAGTCAGGAGTACAGGGGCCCAGGTGGTGTTCTCCTCAAACCTCCTGGCAAGGGGAAAGGGTGTGAGGAGGAGGGCACTGATACTGCATGTCAAAAATTAGTTGCACAGCTAACATTGGCAGTGGGGTTTTGGTTTCTATGACCATGGTGTTACCTCAAACTGTTCCAAAAACTTTCTAACACCAATTTGGCATTTAGAAAGTATTCTTTATTGCAGTGCTGGATGCACGGGGGATATCTCCATCTAGCGTGCATGCCATAGGTCACACCAGCAAGGTATTTATCAAACTTAAACATACATATTCATTAATTTTCCGAGAAAATTTTTCCTGAGGAACCTGAACATACATAAGTCTATGGGACTTGATGAGATGCATCCCAGAGTCCTGAGGGAATTGGCTGATGTAGTTGCCAAGCCACTCTCCATGATATTTGAAAAGTCATGGCAGTCAGGTGAAGTCCCTGGGGACTGGAAAAAGGGAAACATCACACCCATTTTTAGAAAGGGTAAAAAGGAGGACCCTGGGAACTACCGACCAGTCAGCCTCACCTCTGTGCCTGGGAAGATCATGGAACAGATCCTCCTAGAAGCTATGCTAAGGCACATGGAGGACAGGGAGGTGATTCGAGACAACCAGCATGCCTTCACCAAGGGCAAGTCCTGCCTGACCAACCTAGCAGCCTTCTATGATGGAGTAACTACATCAGTGGATGAGGGAAGAGCTATGGATGTCATCTGTCTGGACTTCTGTAAGGCCTTTGACATGGTCCCCCACAGTATCCTCCACTCTAAATAGGAAGGATATGGATTTGATGGGTGGACTGGTCGGTGCATAAGGAATTGGCTGGATGGTCGCATCCAGAGGGTAGTGGTCAATGGCTCGATGTCCAGATGGAGAACAATGACGAGTGGTGTCCCTCAAGGGTCCGTTCTGGGGCCAGTGCTGTTTAATATCTTCATCAATGACAGACAAATCTCCAATGATTGACAAGCCTCACTCCAAAGATAATCTTTTTATCAGGGTTAGACAACATTGTACAGAACACTGTATAGTTACATATATACAGACAAAAGCTAACAAAATGATGACCAATAACAGCAACAATTTTCTTAACCACGAGCTCAAATTGGGGAACCAGGAAGTCAGCCAATTCCATGTCTCCTCGAACCTAAATGAGGTTTTTCTTTTGAATTAGCCACCTTCATAGTTTTCTCAACCATTTCCAAATGGAGATTATAGTTCCACAAATTAAGTGACCCTTCTTGGTTCCCCTGGCTCAACAGAGTCCGTGAGCTTATAATACCACACCACAAATGAAAAAATTATACACTCAAATTGGATATTTCAACAAAGGAAAATAAGGAAAAAGAAACAAAGCAGTACTATCGTTAGTCCGCCCTGAGGGCAATCTACTTCTGCAAAGGCTATAACCTCAGTCCAGAAACAATTCATTGAGTTCTTCTGAGTTTTAATTTCAAAGGTCCTGCCTCCTGCACAGTCCAATTTGGAGACGGTGCACTTTTGATCCTTGAATAATGTATCCAAGGCTCCTTTTCTGCAATCTTAACAGCTGTGTAAGTTGTTAACAATACCTGATAAGGTCCTTCCCATCGCTCAGTCAGAGGCTGGGAATCCCAGTTCTTTACATAGATCCAGTCACCTGGTTGAATGGAGTGTACCAGAGCATCCAGTCTGAGAGGTCGTGACATCACAATATATTTCTGCAATGCATTAATAGTTTTTCCTAAAGAAATTACATATTGATTTAAATCAATTTTCCCTCGTATATGTAGGGTTTTTGGAAATTTAGGACTCTGTTATGGTCTACCGAACAAAATTTCATATGGACTTAAATGATCCGTTGACCTAGGCTGGACTCGAATGCAAAGTAAAGTTATAGGTAATGCTTGAGGCCATTTCAACGAAGTTTCCTGACAGATTTTGCTAAGTTGTGTTTTCAATGTCTGATTCATCCTTTCTACTTTACCACTAGATTGAGGCCTCCAAGGTATATGGTAATCCCATTTAATGTCTAATACCTTACTTAATTGCTTAACAACTTCCACTGTAAAAGTTTGGGCCTCTATCTGATGACATTCCTAAAGGAACCCCAAACCTTGTAATTATTTCTTTTAACAGAGTTTTTTTGTCACTTCTTTAGCTTGGTTGGTGTGACAGGGAAACACTTCGGGCCACCCAGAAAAAGTATCAACCATTACTAATAGATATCGCTAGCCTGCTTGTTTTGGCAACTCTGAGAAATCAATTTGCCAGTAATCTCCTGGTGTATTTCCCTGGGGTAAAGATCCCAGGAGAGGTTTTCTAATAATGCTAGGGTTATTTCTTTGACAAATCGAACACTTTTATCAACAATTGATTTAGCTATTTTTATCATTCCAACACTTACAGCAACTTTCTGTAATCCTTGTACTAGGGACTCTATTCCCCAGTGGGTCTGCTGATGCTCCCTTTTCATTATTTCAGTCATTATGTCTGGAGTTACTACAACCTGATAATTTGGGGTTATCATCCACCCTTTTTCATTAGGAACAGCTTTTAAAAGATCAGCTAACTGCTTGTCTGCTGATCCATATTTAGGTCCTTCATCCGGTAGTGATATTTTCTTTTTGGGCATTACTACAAAGATGCCTTGTTCCACAGCCTCCTTGGCTGCTTTATCTGCTAATCTATTACCATCAATAACAGGGGATCGTCCACTTTGGTGAGCTTTACAATGCATTACTGCTACTTCAGCTGGTTTCTGAACACTCTTTAAAAGTTGTAAGATCTCTTCTGAGTGTTTAATAGGCATACCTTGTGCGGATAATAATTCTCTTTCTTTCCAAATTGCTCCGTGAGCATGGATCACTCCAAAAGCATATTTAGAGTCTGTCCAGATATTTACCTTCTTCCCTTGAGACAAATCCAGGGCTCGTGTCAGGGCTATCAATTCTCCCTTCTGAGCAGATGTACTCACAGGTAAAGCCTTGGCCTCCAATACCTGAGTAGGTGTCACTACTGTGTATCCGGCTTTCCACTGTCCGTCTATAACGTAACTGCTTCCATCTGTAAACATTTCTAAATCTGGGTTAATCAAGGGTTCGCTTTTAAGGTCAGGTCGGCTAGAGTATACTTGCTCTATTGTTTGTATACAATCATGTACCAGTGATTCTTCTGGATTTTCAGCATTCAAAAAGGTAGCTGGATTCACTGCCATGGTAGTCTTCAATTCTATGTCATCTTGTTCTAAAAGAACCACCTGGTACTTAAGCATTCTGCTGGGGGAGAGCCAATGTCCCCCCTTTTGTTCTAATACGGCAATAACCATATGAGGCACATAAACAGTTATTCATTGCCCCAGGGTTAATTTCCTTGCTTCTTGAATCAATAAAACGGTTGCAGCCACAGCTCTCAAGCATCCTGGCCAGCCTTGGCTTACGTTTCCAGTTGCTTAGAAAAATATCCCACTGGCTGTTTCCAGTTCCCTAATTGTTGAGCCAGTACCCCCAAGGCCAGGTGTTGCTTTTCATGTACAAATAACTCAAAAGGTTTCATTAAATCTGGCAGTCCCAAAGCAGGAGTGGACATAAGGGCCTTTTTCAAATTCCTGAAGGCAGTTTGACACTCGGGGGTCCATTCAAGAAATTGTCCTCCAGATAATTTTAAAGCTTCATATAGAGATCCTACCAGTATTCCATAGTTGGCAATCCACAAGTGACACCATCCGGCCATTCCCAGAAATGTTCGTAATTCCCGCACGGTTCGTGGCTCTGGTGTCTGGCATATAGCTTCTTTTTGATGATTTCCCAGTTGTCTCTGTCCCTGTGAAATCTCAAATCCAAGATAAAATACAGTTTTCTTAACGATTTGTACTTTATCCCTCGAAACCCGGTATCCATTAAGGCCTAAGAAGTTCAATATGCTGATTGTTAATTGAATACATTCTTCTTCAGTCTCTGTGGCTAAAAGATCATCCACATATTGGAGTAGGGCTCCTTCCATATTTTCTTTTCTCCATTGTTCCAATTCTTTAGCTAATTGGTTTCCAAAAATAGTAGGACTGTTTTTGAAACCCTGAGGTAATACAGTCCAAGTTAATTGTG